AAGAGTGGATCTGTATGCAACAAATGCACAAATAAGTGATGGATAAGAGAAAATAATTAATTGCATGGGTAGGATAAAATAACTGCAAAGAAGGGAAAAAAAAAAAAAACTTGTTTCTGTAAGGTGCTGAAATGTAGCTTTCCAGAGAGGTCTGCAGAGTCTGCAGTCTGCACTGATATCTCTTCAGATTTTTTTTATTTGCGTGTTACATCAGCAGGGCATGTGAAGTTTCCATCTGTACGTGATAATTATATACACCACAAAACACTCATTTTTTCTCGCCTGTTTACAGACTGCAAGGTTTCTAAACTTGGATCCTGTATGCTACAGCAATAAGATCAAACAGTATTCAGATTCAATTAAGCCAAATGCTGCAGAAACCCAACCCTTCTGGATTATGTTTCACTCTCATTTTGTTCCTCAAATTTCTTGTTGAGGTCACAGGTGTTTAAAGGGCAGATACTACTTCTGAGATGCTCCTGGGACTGATGAGGGAAGGCTCAGAGTCGCAGCCGTTGGAATTAGTGCTATGGGTATGATAGGGCAAATCAGGAGGCTGGCAGATCAGGAGAGAGAGTGGTGGAAGGAGGTGATGTGCTGTGGATAACCGCCCCTTCCTCTCCCTCCTGATTGCTGTTTTTGCAGCACTCACGAGCTAAGAAGGGATAGCAGCACTAGTAGAGGCCTACGACAACAGGCTGAGCAGGAAGCTTCGGAGCAGTGAATGGTGCCCAGCATCAAACCATGCGAGCACTGTCACTGCTGTGAGGAGGAGGCAAATATGGGCCAGATCTGCTTTTTGTTCTCCAGAAATAGATTAGAAGAGTCAGAAATAGGGGCACTGCCAGGTAAGATCCACTCCAAATTTCACCTGTGTGTCCTCTCCCAACAAGACGGCCTATCTGCAACCCCCTGCTCTGAGCAGCCACAGTCCACTCCTGCCTCGTGTAATTGTTTCCCAGAGAAGTTTTGATTTCCGGACAGAAACATGAGAGAAGAGCATACCTGCATGTTGCTCTCCCACTGGGCCTTGCCCTCCAGCAGGGAGTCTAGAACAGCCCTGCTCGGCTCCTCAGCAGCAGCATCATTCCCGCTCACCACATAGTAGGATGACCGAACTCTCTTGAAAAACTCAACGTCGACATTCTTACTGTTGCTGTGGTTAGGGATGTACACCAGATCCAAATACACTGGAGGTCCTGGAGGCACAGCGGTTGATTTTGTCAACTTAGTATTTGGAGGTCCTTTGGAAATGAAAGAACAAAAGAATATATCACAGACTGCTGAAAAGATGCATTTATTAATTATAATTGTTACCATAATTACCATGAGGTGATATCCCTAAAGTAGCTCCTGTTGGTTAAGCATCACATATGTGCAGCTCTACTTCTGCGTCCTCTGAAACTATCATGCTGTTACCCTCCTACATCTAACGATATACTCCAGTTTAGTTGTATCTAAGCCCTGACTGTACTGGGAGGAAAAAATATCTGAATAAATATAACTAATTATATAATACAAGAAAAAATTACTACCACATATAACCAGCAATTGAGTGAGCCTTTCCAAGTAATATGCTGCTATTATTCAGTAATTGCTGTGCAAGGCTGTGATTACTGAATTACCATACAATGAATGGGAGTATTATTTTCCAGGTTAAGAAGTACAGCTCTTTGAGACTGATAGGCATGACTGGAACATCAAACAGAAAGCCATGCAGGTTTGAAGTGGACTGAATTTGGCAGGTATCAGGGCACAACAAGGTGTAGTAGCTGTTGACATGCTGTGCTAGGACTGTCTTACAGCTACATCAGGGAGCTCCTGTGAGTGAGCAAAGAGGAAAGGAGGAACTTGGAAGGACGGTGAAGCTTCACACACCAGTTAATTCAGGGAACTAAGAACAAGCATTTACTGCCTGCTGGATCCTTGGCTGCACACACCAATTAGACATTTATCACAAAAAAATGAGGTGAGGGAGCATGTTTTTGCTTCTGTATCTTAGTGTAATATCAGTTCTAAGAAGATCTTCAGTCAAAATTAAATTTAAATACACATGTGAAAATACTATAACAGATTCTGCTTTTGCTATAGTTTGGCCATCAGGATTTGATCAATGGTTATATTCAGATGATCACCACTATTATTTTATTAGCCTCTCCATGACGTTACAGAGGATGATGCTGGTAAACCAAATTATCTGAGCAATACAGTTTATTTTAGAGTCATGTATTGTAAGGCCAGGAATGTGCATTGCAATTGCCTGATGTGACCTGCTGTTCATTATACACCAATATGCCAAATAAGCATCATGATGTGATAGGACTTCCCAAATTAGAGATTTTTTTTAACTACTGGGTATGTTACAAAATCATCTTTATAACGAAATAAAATGTGTTATTTTTTCTGAAATGTGGATACAAACAGTAAACGTAACAATACATGTGAAATTTTAACTCGAATGTCACTATAGACAGTTTAATATAGAGCCAAAATGCTGGAGATGTATAAGGTAAAAGAAACTATAGTGCAGTTTTGAAAAGCATCTTTCAACAGAGACACAGACACTATAGTATAACAAAGGAATGATGGAGAGCATAAAATGGTAAAAGTCCAGATAGCTGAATGCTGATTTGCTTCCACTGAATCCTAGACCTGCTGCTCGTAGAAAAGTTTCAGCAGAACATCGGTCCTAACAACTGCAAAAAAAGTATCCTCAAAACACTCTGTAACTAGACCTGCAGGAAACAACATATTAGCACAATGTCTCCTTGAATAATCTAATTCATATTTTATTATTACTTTAGTGTACACAACAGTCATTCAAAATGACATTAACTTCTGATATGTTTAGTCATTGCGGCTGGCATAAGACTTTAACTGGATTATGTGATGTACATGCGTTTATTATGGAAAGTGCTCTTACTACAGTTTTGACTAAAAAAAAATCCAATAAAGTAATGAAAACACCCAATGTCTATAGAATTCTGCCTCTCACAATATTAAATTCCATTTGCTTTTCTTAAGAGTATTGTGTCTTGATGAGTCTTATAATGAAAATGTGGTTCATTTCACTCCACATACAGCACTACTTTCAATTATGTATTCATTGGCCTAACAATTTAAGTAACTAGTACTCAGCTTTTCATATTTGATGCACTTGCCCTAAGTCTTCACTTCTGAGCAAACTGACACAACAAGTCTCTCAAATTATAAAAGCTAATCTGGTGAATTCCGGTCATTTAAGTATGGCTGTTATGTGCTGGATTTCACTTAAAACATGGTCTTTTCGATAAGAGATGATTATGTCCTGATCTCAGCTGATATAAAGGTAACCTAACATAACTGCAACCACTAAGAAAAACTTAATACTAGGGAACTCCTATCTGTCTTTACCTGTAGTCGCAGTCTTCACCGACTTGGATGTTATTGAATTTGCTGCATTCTTAGTGTCCTTATCTTTCTCTTCCACTCGAGACTTTACTTCTGGATTTGAGATATTTTTGGTTGCCTTCTCAACAGACTCCTTCTTTTTTGGGGAAGCCGTTTTGGAAATTTTGTCTAAAGCTTCTTTTACAGCTGGCTTTGGGGAAGCCACTTGTTTCGATTTACCATCACTTTTTTTAGCAGGAGAGGAAGACTTGGTCTTAGTACCCTGCTTTTTTGTTTTTGAGGACTTTTCTTTGATGTCCTTCTTCAAAGGTTTGCCCAAATTCTGGTCAACAGGCAAAGCCTCTGGATCAACCATAGAGACATCAGGGTGCCTAGGGGAAGGGCTGTAATCTTGCATTGGGACAGGTGGAGGGTCAATGTGTTTGTATGTAATTGTCTTGTCTGTTGGAATGGTTTCTGACTCATCTTCAGAGTCAATGTTAGCATCTGCAGTGATGGAAGGGCATTCTTCAGTCTCAGGAGGAACATCAGAGTCAGTCTGAGATGGAGCAGACTCGCTTACCGACGTGGGAGGTGTTTCATCACACTGCCGTGCTGGCAGTTTTCCACCGGAAGGAGGCTGGGCTCCTCCAGATTGAGTTAATGGCTTTTCTTGATCTTGGGACTGTTCGTCACTTGCAAACCACTCTAGGGGATTTGGGTTGATAAATGAGGGTGAAAGTTCTGTTTTAGGGTGTTTATATTCGCAGGAGGACACAAGACATAAATCAACATCTTGACGGGCTTCTGCTAATGACTTCGTTGGAGTAAAATGTCCACTTGCTTCATAGGAATAGCTAGTAGCATCAGGTGACATGGTGGCCTTCCCTGTTGTCTCAAATGAGTAGTCTGTAGTATCAGGTGACCTAGTGGCCCTCCCGGTTGTCTCAAAAGAGTAATCTGTAGCTTCAGGTGACCTGGTAGCTTTTCCAGTTGCTTCATAGGAGTAAGCCATGGCCTCAGGTGACCTAGAAGTTCTCCCTGTTGTCTCATAGCAGTAGCTAATGGTTTCTGGTGATTTAGTAGTTTTCCCTGTTGTCTCAAAAGAGTAATCCATGACATCAGGTGATCTGGTGCCTTTTCCAGTTCTCTCATAGGAATAATCTGCAACCTCAAGTGATTTAGTGGTTTTCCCAATTATCTCATAGGAATAATCTGTGGCCTCGGGTGATCCAGTGGTTTTCCCTGTTATCTCATAGGAATAATCTATGGCCCCAGAGGATCTGTTAGTTTTTCCCATGGTCTCATAAGAGTAATCTGTGGGCTCAGGTGATCCAGTGGTTTTTCCCATGGTCTCATAGGAATAATCTGTGGCCTCAGGTGATCTGGTGGACTTCCCTGTTGTCTCATAGAGATAATCTGTGGACCCAGGGGATCTAGTGGTTTTCCCTGCTGTCTCATAGGAGTAATCTGCAGCCTCAGGTGACCTGGTGGTTTTCCCTGTTATCTCATAGGAATAATCTGTGGCCCCAGGGGATCTGGTAGTTTTTCCCATTGTCTCATAGGAGTAATCTGCAGCCTCAGGTGACCTGGTGGTTTTCCCTGTCATCTCATAGGAATAATCCATGGCTTCAGGTGACCTCACAGTTTTCCCAATTATTTCATAAGAATAATCTGTTGTTTCAGGTGACTTTGTAGTTTTCCCTGTTGCCTCATAGGAATATTCTGTGGCTTGAGGTGATCTAGTAGGTTTTCCAATTGCCTCATAAGAGTAGCTAATATCCTCTGGTGATCTTGTAGCTCTCTCAGTTGCCTCATAAGAGTAACTAAGTTCTTCTGGTGACCTGCTGCTTTTCTCCGAATCTTCTTTTTCTGGAGTAGCTAAAGGTTCTGGACTATGCTTTGTTAGTGGCTCTTGTAATGTGCCAGCCTGATAGCCAAATGCTTTGTCAGAGGATACTTGTAGTGACAATGATGATGCGTGACTTGCTGACATTGCTTCTGTGGCTGCAGGAGGTGAATCTGGAAAACTAGGAGAGTATAGAGGAGAAGACTCCCTTGGAGTTAATGGAGATAGGTCAGACTTTGGTGACAGCTTTTCTCCTAGGCCCTGCACCTTTTCTGAGGTAAAAGAATGTAGTGACATATCTCTGGGTGGAACAGCACTTGAAAAGGTTTCCTCTGGCAGTGGTGAAGTTACCTGGGAAGGTGTATGTGCTGATGAAGTTGAAGATGAAGCTTCAATTTGAGAAACTGAAATAATTTCAGAAATATCCTTCTCCTGAGAGTAAGTTGTTTGCTCAACAGGGGAAATCTTCCGTGCGAAAGTAGGCTCCTGTATATCTGAGGGGCTATAATCTACCTCAGTTGGTCCATTTTCAGATATATGATGAATACTAGTACCTACAGTAGGATATTCTGGGGACTGTCTACTAAAGTCCATTGCTAAAGACTGCTCAGGAGACTCTTGACCGAATTCTACTGACATAGTTGACTGCTCAGGAGACCTAAGGTCGTGCACTGGTGTTCTTGATTTTGCAGTTTTAGGTGAGAAATCTGGTGGAGAAATTGACATTGGTCTTGGGCACTCTTCCTTAGATGGAGACATTTCAGTTTCCTGAAACGTGGTTGGTGTTTGTACAACAGACACTGAAAGAGAATCATCAACTTCTGTAGAGTGAGGGGATCCAACCTCAGCATGCAAAGAAGGAGATACATCATCAGTAGTTGGTTCTGGAAATGAACTAGTAGCAACAGATGCTGTAGAGACAGAAGCAACCCCTCCTATATGAGAATAGGTATCTTCTGCTACAACCTCATCAACAGGTGTTGCAGACTTGTCAGAGACTGTACCTTCAGAAATTGACATTTTGGTATCTTCTTTTAAGGAACCGAACTGACTGATATCTATTTGTGTAGGTGAGAGATCATCTGCTAACTTCCGCTCATCCAAGACCAGTGAAGACTGAGAGCTACTGGGCTCTGTATCTTCCATTTTCCTTTCTAGGCTGAAGCCTTCTTTAATTGCCATGAATTCCAAACTTTTTTCATCTTGTTTTTCTTGGAAAAGGCTGACAGAGCTGGCTTCAGAAGTTGGGCTAATCTGAACAGGTGATTTTTCCTTTTCAGCTTTCTCCTCAGAAGGACTTGCATAATCTCTGGCAGGAGACTTTACATCAGCACTCAAAAATGTATCAAAAGAGGTTTCCGAACCTATCAAGGGTGGACTCCGTAGAGGTGAGAGAACTTTTTCAATAGGAGATTCTGAATCCGGCACAGGCTCATCCATGGGGCTTATTCTGTGTTTTGCAGACTCATCTTTCTCTTCACTGAATTCAAAGCTAACTGGAGCTTCTCCTGACTTTTCAGTGATTTCAGAAGAAAGTTGACTGGATTTTTCATCAGTGGGAGACTGATAATAAGGCGTGTGGCCAGCACTACCAGCAGCAGACTGTGAGGGAGATGCTACTTCTAATGTTTTATCTTCAGGACTTGCACAATGCTCTTCAGTTACTTCTTGACGTGCATCAAGCAATGTTGCAATGGGGACAGACTCAGCTGAGACCTTGATCTCATTGGGAGTGAGTGAAAAGTTCACACTCCGTTCACTTAGTGGTGTTTTGGCAACTGGTGATGGAGGGGACAGACTCTCTGCTGGACTCTTGGTTGGGCTGTGTTTTCCGCTAACCTCTTCTGGATAGGTTTCGTTGATTTCCAATTTGGCAGTGCCTTGGATTTCACTTTCTTTTTGCTGGTATACTTCTTGGAAGGCAGATTTGCAGAATTTGTCTTCCTCTAATGAAGAAGGTGGTGATATAGTAGAAGCGGAAGCATTATAGTCTTTACCTTCTGTGGCTTCTGTTTTGGATCCTTCCGATAATCCATTGAAAGCATCTGGAAGTGGAGAGAGTTTAGGTCTACTAAACTCTTGAGAGTACAGTGCTGTCTCATATTTAGTAATGTTCACATACTCCTGAGAAGGTGACTCACTTTCCTCATTGTTAGTTTCATCACTCATTACATCCCGCGGTGTAGACATTTCATCCATTGGAGTTGGTTCACTGGATATTTCAATGGTAGACTGTGTATAACCTGAAGTAGCTGTGAATTCTTCAGGTTGATCTTCTCTATTTTCTTCATCAGAAACAGTGGCTTCACTTTCTGAACCACCAGGTAATGTCTCATCATGGATAGAAGAAGCTGGCTCAACTGCTGGAGACTGAGGTTCGGAACGTTTGGTTGGTGTAATTATGAGGAGGCCATATTTATCTTCAACTTCACCAGCTTCTGCAGCTTTGTCTACCACTGCCATCACATAATCTTCTTCAGCTTCTATCTTTTCAGTTTCCTCTTCATCTCTGACATCTTCTGCTTTGTCTTCCTCCTCTTCAGTTTCTTCAGTTTCTGCCTTTTCCACTGCTTCTTCCCTGTCTTCCTCAGCCCGCTCATCTGATGCCTCATAGTCTGCCTTTTCAATATATTTTTCATCTTTAATTCTAGCATCCGCTTCAGTCAGCATATCTTCTGAACTCTCTTCCATTTTTCTTACTTCCTCCACATACTGTTTTGTGGTGTCCAGTAGTGTCTTCTCCTCCTCATCTCGCTCTTCAGCTTCTTCTGTCTCTGCCTTTTCTTCATAGTCCCCTGCTTCAGATGATTCCTCCAAGCCAGTTCCTTCATCCTCAAACTTCTCATTGTCATCAACCCTGTGCTTTTCTACAGGTTCCAGTTCTTCAGGTGTCTGTTCACATTCACCTTCAGCTTCTGTGGTAGTTATGCCTTCATCAGAGGATTCAGCAGGTCCTTCATTATCCAGTTTTTCTTTTTGGCCTGTGCCTGTGAGTTTCAGTTCATCCTCTATGAGGACAGCTTTAGGTTTGGTTTCTTTTATTGTTTCTACTTCTTCAGCTTTTAATTCTTCAAAGTCCTTTGTTAAATCTTCCGGTGAAGACATTAGGGACCTCTCAGTTTCAAGTTCTTTTCCATTAGCTGCAATTTCTGCAGCTGCTACTGTTGCAAGGGTTGTGGCAGTGGCTCCAACTGCAGCAAGAGCAGCTTGTGCTCCATTGACTTTAATCTCCTTCTTCACAGTCTTAATCTTCCCCTTTTCTTTTGGCTTTCCAGCAGATACTGGTTCTTTCTTAGCAGGTTCCTCCTTCTTTTGTGGTTTAGGCTTTGCTGCTGGTTTTTTGGCTTCGGTTGAAGGAGTCTTCTTTGTTTCTTTGGGGAGCTTTTTGATGTCTTTTTTGGCTTCTTTTTCTTCCTTCTTAATTTCCTTCTTCTCTTCTTTTTTAACTTCCTTTTTAACCTCCTTTGGTGGAGCTTCTTTCTTCACTTCTTTTTTAGTTTCCTTCTTCTCTTCCTTTTTCACCTCTTTTTTAACATCTTTTTTGATCTCTTCTTTCTTGGGTTTTTCCTCTTTTTTGATGGGTGTTTTCTCCTCTTTTTTAGAAACTTCTTTCTTTGGTTTTTCTTTCTCCTCCTTCTTCTCTTCAGGTTTTGCTTTGACTTCTTTTTTCACTGGCTTCTCCTTTGACACTTTTGGTTTTACATCTGTAGCTTGCTTTTCAGCAGTTTCAGATTTCACTAACTGCTCTTCTTTACTTGTTACATCTTTTTCTGCCACTACAGGTTTGGTCTCCACTTTTGCTGGTTTCTCTTTTTTAACTGGAACTTTTTCTTTGCTTTCTACTTTCTGAGGCTTTTCTGGTGCTGGACTAGGTTTTGGTGGTTCTGGTGTTTCTTCTTTAGATTCTTTTCTGACTGACTTTCTTGGTGGTGTCTTTGCAGCAGGCTTAAGGCTCTCCTTGCTGTCTGTTCGTTGTTTCAGCTTTGCTTGTTTCACAGCTGGACTAGCGATGTTCCCAGTTAGGTCTTTCTGTGTAACCATTGGTTGCTTAAGGAAGTCTAAATGTTTGAGCTTTTCCAGTCCTTCTAGAATATTATATTGGGTACTGTTTCCAGGAAACAAAACTCGAATAATTTTTTCTGTGGGATTAGCTGGATGCCATACAATCAGGGATGAGACAGAGGTGAAATGGGATAATGGAATATCTACTTCTTGGCCATTTGGTAGCAGGAATTCAGCTTTATCTTTATTAGTACCACTCCACTGTTGCATAAAATATTGCATCTCTTTGCTGTTTTTGACAGGATTAAGCACATACATCTCAAGTTTGCCAACGCCCATTTTCTGAAATAAAATGATGGGGTCAATGGTATTTCCTACATTTCTAAAAAGAGGCTCTGGTTTCATAGACAACTTATTTAAATACTGGAGAGTAAAACAAACTTCTTCTACATTCCTTTTTACTCTAAAGTTAGGATCAAGGTTCTTCAGGTTTTCAGGTACATTGAGGAATACAACTCCTAAATCAGGTGAGATCAGATTTTTCATCCAGTCACTGTTGGTCGTAGACCCTTGGGACTGTTCCTCTTCTAATTCGGCTATCTTTCTCTGGAGCATGCTATTGATTCCTGGCAGGTTATCATCTCCAATGTGAGTGAGCAGAATGGAATCGACTC